TTTTTTTTTTTTTTTTTTTTTTGGTTGTATTATATTATTCATTTCTTGTACGTATTTGTGGAATCAGTGATTAAATTTGACAAAGTGACATTGTTAGCTGAGTTTATATTTTCTGCTGATTTAAATATTCTGTTCATTTCGAAGCGGTATCGACACATGAGGAAGTGAATAAGGACGGGCTTAAAAGTTTGTTATTTTTAATTTTTACCATTATCCATCTTCTGTAGAAGCTATTATGAGAGGCTTTTTTTTCATTTGGCTGTTCACTTACAAATGCTTTATTGAGCTTTTTGAATTGGGTATGGTTACTCTGTGTCTTCGCTGCGTAGCACGTTGTGTTTGGTTCTAAAGCAGTTCGCCTCACATTATTGGTCCTGACGTTGCTGCATTTCCATGTGCTGTTCAGTAATTGTGTCATTCTGTTTTTTAAACTTAAACTGATTCGGGATTATGACGTTTTGAGCAAGGGTGTAGTACGGTCATTTAAAATGGAGAAGATTCCTATAATTTAGCACGTGCTTAAGCCTCATTCTAAGGTAATACTGCCTTAAAATACACTAAAAATACTGAAAAAAAAATGGATTTTTGGGAGAAACATGTTACTGTGTACTGTAAACGGTGAAATACGTAAAAAAGACAATTGGGGCGTTAATGCAAAAAATTGCAGTTCTGTAAATATCAGAGAAGTTGCTTCATTCTGGATCAAATCAGACAAGAGGTCCAATACATTACTGTAGGCGACATTAATTACAGTTGGGAGAAGAAGGAGAGGACGAAAGGATACATATCACTGCTTTAAGGAAGAAAATACTGGATTAAAATTGCTTTTAGGGAAATCCATGTTTTCTTTTTGCTTCCAGTTTTTTTTCATTTTGACTCGATCAGCTCCAGCAGTTCATGGCATAAGACACCTTCCAAATCAGATCTGTATCGGGTTAACAAATTTGATCTTCCTCCTTTATGATACAGTCATCGAACCTGAAATTGAAGAAATATTTTCCAAACATTGTCTTTCAGAAAAACTCACTGCCAACTTCTGCAAGCGATCCCCTTCCTTGAGTTGCATACCTCATGCGAACGGAACACAGAGATGTAAAAAGTCACAGTTAATCGCTTGAGTACTGTAGCAAGAATTCTCATTTTCTAGAAGTGTAAAGTCCCATATTTAGTTGACTAAAACTTACTTATCCACAACCTTTTACAGACTAGCAGCAGAAGTTAGTGCAACCGTCAAATACCTTTGATTTTCTATAAACATTTGTTGGAAATACCTTCTTTTTCTGTAATGGATGTATCAATTGCATGTAAAAATGATATCCGGTAATGAAATTGATAG